AAGTTTCCAAGTCGTGTGATTATAATTGATATGATTATGAACAATAAATTTTGTTCGAAACGTCATCCAGTAAATAATACTGTTTCATTGTGTGATAAATTCAATAAACAAACTAATATGAGATTCTTATCTGCCTGACAGTCTGTCAACTATTTTTCATCTATAGCAAGTACCTACCAGTTTATCAGGAAGCCTACAACTGATGTAAATTACAGTTTTGTTGATTCCTATTGGTTAAAGAGCATTTTGTATTTCCAAAGTAATAACTTCTATAGTTGATAATGTTATTATGATTGTTAGTGTCTAAATTCTAGTTTAAAAAACAAAGTTAAACAGAAAAAACATTCTTTTGCTGAATAATTGTACAAAATGTTATTCACTGTCCGACATTTTCTTAGGAAATCACAACTACAGTTATTGTACAAGGTGTATATGTGTACATGTGTGCGCATGTTGTGTATACATACTACTTATTATTGATTATCAGCACATCTATTTATTCTGTTGATGTCTACAACACCTACGCACTGGTCATCATCACTATGTTTCCCTTTGTAATACAGAAAGCAGAAATTTCGAAATACCGCTTATTGGCTAATATTAAAATATGCACATAAGTCGATTAGGGTTTCTGAATAACTGTACATGTTAACACTATTTATGGACACTTTATAGACTTTACTGTAGCATTAAAAAAAGCAATAGTGTATATGATTACTTCTACAGTTGGCATTTATAGCCACTTTTATGAGAAAATCAGTGTATTCTACATCAAGAATTTACGCAATTATGCATACAAATATATTATATACCTACTAGTCAAGCTAGATTCTCTATTTTATATGTTCTAAGTAGAACATATGGTATTAACCTTTGAAGTCCCAGTAACGCTGGTGTTGCTTGCTTCACGATTAATCTCCCGCCTTTCCCAGGCTTACTATAGGCTAGTGAACTAGCCGACGTTTTAGGACTGTATCGGTGAGGAGTCAAACCTGCCCTTCCGTGTAGTTGACGAACATTCTACGAATGAACCACTGGTGCACTCTCTTATACTTGGTTTGCTTCAATTTAGTTTTCGGTTATTCATTGTAATTATTTACTTCAGTAATTTGTGCACTATTAAAACAATTCTACGATTGCCTGTAGCGAAAAGATTTATTCTCATGTTGTGTAAATATCTCCATTCATTGCATTGTGCATTCTGCATACAAAGAACGAGGCATAACTTATTGGTCTGTGTATCTCTCATTGGACACAGGTTAGTAACTAGTGTAATGTGTCTGATCCATCCTGACGATTGCCTCCAACCATCTAATATCAACTACATATCTCTGTTACTCAAAAACCATTATTCACTCGTCCAGGTTATTTGAATATTTCATACTTCGGTGTACTTAAAATCAGTCTTTCTTTTTTACTGACAGTCAAATTATGTTTACAATATAGATTACACCAGTATCTCTGTAACATGTTACTTAGGAAAGAGAAGCGGTCTGGAGCAATTACGTGGTGATTGATGATAAAGAAAACTTTAAAGGGTCACCATGAAATTGATTCATTCAATGTAAACAATCTGATAGCCGACAAATGAACATCTTGGAACGATAGAGTAAATGTGTAGCTCATTTTAAAGGGTGTTTTTAGTGTTGTTGTACTTTCTGAATCAGGCAATGTATTATTGTTACTGATGTATTTCACTGTATACACAACTCATTTTTTAAATTTATTTTTTTGTTGCATAGCTAGATTTGTGAATTTATTTATTCTGTCGTTACTAACTAAGAATATGTAATACCTTAGGAAGTTCAGTGATAAATACTTGTTTTTAGAAATATAGTGTTATATTATAGGATATTAGATTTATGTAGGTTATATTGATTTCATAATGTATTTCGTTGTGAACTGGAACTGCCTGAAGAATCATTAAAAATTAGGAGGAACTGGACTATTGTTGCTCTCTATTCTAGAACTCCGGGAGCGATCACCCATGATCAATCCAGCGGCCGAACCTAGGACCTAAAGTTTATGGGATGAGTACATTACCACTGAACCAGTTGACTAAGAACTTTAGCTTCTCCCAGTTTTCATTTTAGCTCCATAGTTGATCAATATCATCGATAAGTAACTTTCCTCATACTTGATAGACATTGTGTGACCCACTATTCACGATTACTTTTCAGAACTCCATTTAGAAGTGGCACAGTCCTGTCTGAAATTATTCAGATCTATTCAAGTTTGATATTTGGAAATTATACTGCTGGTTATTAGTAACTAGCTTCTACATTGAATTCCAATCAGAAGTGGTCACACTATGGCTTTTCTGATGTTTTAAAATTGTTATTTATCTTAATAGTAGAATAATAAGGTACGTAGCAGTTTACTCTATCTTTAATTAATACCACTCAGGAATGCAGAAGAATAGTTTCGGAGTGGTGATATCTTGATTACGTATTAGTAGTATTTCTGATTTGATTTGATGATCATTCAGTAATTTATAGTTGCCTATCATTTTGGAAAATTTACAGTGATGGACGAATTATCAAAAACACTGCACGGATGGACTCTGACGAGAACGAAACTTTCTGCACTTAACCTTCCGAAGCAAAATATGTCATAAACATAATTTTTATTATTTATTTAATTGTTTTTTTTTTATTACAGCTTGACTCCACACTGTATTTTTGGTGCAAGTATGAAATTTTCAGCATGGATATCGGTAGCCCAAATTTCGCAGGCCGACCATAGATATCAGGTGTGCGTCGACAGGGGATCGAACTTCGGACCATGTGCATGGTCGGCGAGAGTCCTAACCACTGTGCCACCGACGCACTTGGGGGGCAAACTATCTAAATATATTGGTTTTTTCAACTTTTTAGGCGTTATGAAAGAATACGTAATGAGAAATTTTGGGAACGCAGGAACCAAAAACCCATCGCTCAAAAAATATATAAAAGAAAATGGAGATGGATTGGGCATACTCTGAAGAGGTCGTCGAATGACATCATGCACCAGGCCTTCGAGTGAAATTCCAATCAGAAGCGAGGATTTGAACTTGTATCCGCAGGTAACATGGAGGAGATCGTGTGAGGAGGATGTGAGACACTATGGGAAATCGTGAGGCCAGCTGAAGAGGACCGCAGAGAATAGGGAAAAGCAAAGATGTGGTGTTGAAGCCCTATGTTGCACTCGGAAAAGAAAAGAACAACAAGAACGTGTTATTTAGCTGATGGTAACTTGTAGTGGAAACCCACTATACACATTTCTTCCTATTCTCGACTAATCAGTTGTATCTCCACTGGCTGACGGTTTACTAAATTAGATTAGAAACTAGCACCTATCTTTTCAAATGCCGAAGCGTTGTCCACTAAGCCGAAGAGCTACGGGAGTCACCTCCTGTTCAACAGAAGTCACTCACTATTTGTTTAAGTTAATTTACATTCCCTGTTAATTGACTATATTGGATTGACATGTCAGCTCCCAACACGGACACTCTGAAGATGTCTGAAATCTAACATGACATTTGGTTGATTGTGGCTGGTCGCGAAAACCTTGATATTCATTACCAGCCGACGAGTCCTAAATGGGACGAAATGCTTATATTGGATTTCACTACTAGTCACAATCAACTAAATAGCGTCATGTAAATCTCCAGACATCGTCGAAGTGTCCATGCTGGGAGCTGATATGCCTGGTGGGAACCGAGTATTACCATCCTACTTAGTCAGTCAAGGCGAAATGCAAATTAATTTGGACAAACTTTAAACACTACTTATAATCTGTTTTCATGCATAGTTATTATGCATTGATAGACATTTTATACGATTAACTTAGAAATAAAAATGATGTGATTTCATAACTTAATCTAATTTGAAATAGCAGTAAAATGTACCCAGGGCAAATTTATACACGTAGAACCATTCTATTTACAAAATGCACTACAGGAAGAATTAGTATTTAAGGGCGTTTACACTGTTTTGTTACAGAATAGGCCACTTTTCATGAATATGCATCCACATTTCATTTATTCTTCTCAAGTATCTTTTTGTCTCTATACTTCCATTGTTTAAATTTATTTTCTACTTTATTTTGTTGATGCTTAATATTTTATATGGTACATTATCAGAATTTTATATACTTAGTCAACTTATTGGTGATATTTTCCCCGTTGACTAACAGATACAAATCTGATTTTCCACTATTAGGTCAGCAGTCTATATACTGCTCTACAAACTATGGTTCAAGCTGCCAGATTGCTTTTTGTTTTTATTCACCTGCCTTAAAAAGCACGGTTAGAAGGCTTTTTCTCAACCTACATACATATTGCTTATTTAAGATATGCGAAAAACTTATGTCCAGTAATACTCATCAACTTCACTGGAGAAAAATTCACCTGAGGATAAATTCATTTAACTGATTTCTCTTAGCAAATAATCATGCTATTGGACATGCCATTAATAAAAGATTTTTTCTGAAGACAAAATTTTTATTTTGTGTGCACAATTATTCTTCCTATCTAACATCCCATTAGTCTCTATCAGAAGAAATTAATAATAAGTAACATTTCAAGGAAGAATAAATTCTATTGGCTAATCGGTGTAATAATTATATCTACACCAGTCAGAATTCGAGTAAATCATACTGTCATTTGGCACTTTCCTAACTTTTGGTTTACTTACCTTAGTGTAGATTTGGTGTGTCCTATGTGGTCATGTCTGTCCTCTACTCATCGATGAATTTTAATCAAAATATCCTAATTCTTTAAATGTGTCTTCCAGAATCCTATATGTATATATAGACTTTATCAGGAAAAGTAACTTCAATCCATCAAACCGATTTATCGGACACTGGGCATAACTACACACTATTTCTTTGTCCACTACAGTGAATTTCTCTTTGTATCCATATTCCATATCAATATCACACAATTCTGGAAACACTACCTAATCAAAGTTGGTTACGCAATATAACCATCTTTGAGAGTGAACTGAAATCTTTGAATTATGTGGATTAAACCACACAATCGAAATTTCCTAACATTTCACAGCCTACTATCTTATTTCATATTATTTGTTGGTATATTATGCTGTACAATTAATTTAATCACAAGTGAGTTACTTCTTTTCATATTTACGCTTTGTTTGTTTTACTCATCTCATTGAAGGAAAATCTGTCTAAAAATGGTTAATTTTATAATGAACGATAACTCTTTAGAATACTGGAATTTTTAGTCTATATTTATGTGGTATTCAATTACAGTTAACTCCCTTTTCTTATCATACTAAAGCTCACAGTCATCAGATTTGAACAGCTTGTTAAATCGGTGTAGATAACTATTTCTGTGCTGATTTAGAAGATACTTCATACAAATTTAATCACCTACATATAAATATTTCAGTTCTAGAGTGTGTTATTTGTCGATCGACAGCAAAAATACGGAAATTAAATAAAGAAGACCTACACAGTTAACTGTTTAAACCAATTATATTAAGGGCATGACAGGATTTTCGAAATTCTCAATTCACTTGATAAGGCACAGAAAAAAATATTTATAGGATGGTTAATTGTTAGTCAGAAACACCTTAAATGATATTGTACTCTATCGACAAATAAGAACAGCAGTCCACATTCACATATGCATTCATTCGTACAAAATGATTCCTTTTACTGAATTGTATATCACATTTTGGTGAATTACTCTCTAATTTGAACTGCACATAATGAAAGTAACATTAATATGGAATTAAGAAGCGATTCCAACAGTTCATGTGATCACAGGCAGTAATGTTGCTTGAAACATTACCAAAATTAAGAAAAAAAAACTTGTCATTGTATGTAAACAACTACTGAAAAATAATTATAAATAAGTTATGTGGTGTACTTATTTAAAATGAAGATATTGACTAAGTTACCTCGATACGCGTTTCCTTACTATTTCTGTTCATTCTATATTTAGATTTTAATGAGGCACTAAAGTGACTTTCAAAGATCATATTTCAAAATTTGAATAAAATAAAATAATTACGATTTGAATTTTCTTTTAATATTTTGAAATAGTGGTTTTCTTTTGTTTCAACTGACTTTAGTTTAAGTTCACAAAATCCGTCTTACTTAGTTGCTAATAATCTCTAGAGAAAATGATAAAAGCAACAGTAATAACAATGAAATAATTATAAATCTATCTGTCTACCTTCAGCAGTCAGTCTGACTGGTTTATGCTATCATATAAATTTAGAGATTCATATGATTATGAAAAATATGTTTGTATAACTTTAACAATAGATATTTTGGTCTTAAAAGCAACTGGCTATATTGGTGTAACAGAAGAGTTAGACACCTATGAATAAACTGAATATTATCTGCTGTCAAGTAATACTCTATCTTTGATAGATTAGACTGCACAATAATCACCATTGCTATGAAAGGAAAGACGATAAAATATTCACAGTAGTGTTAATATCTTGCCTGATTATCTGACCACTTCGATCTGGCTAGCAAACACTACTGAGTGATTGTGGTGAATGATCTACAACCACTCACTACAATTAGTCAGTAGTATGTAGTTTCATGCCTGTTTCAAACTTTGTTTAACTATAATGTTCCTTAGCTGCTAGTGGTTAGAAATGTAATCAAGAATATTCTTTTTTTTCTATTTGAGACTCATCAGCTGGGTGTAAACGCGCCCCTAGTAACGCTGTCCGCATTTGGATTGTGCTAACAATTAATTAAAACATGCAATGGTTGCAAAATCGTCCTTATTAAAGAGTAAATAGATTTACTTTTTTCGAAAATTGTTTTCCCATCTTTGTTTTACTATTTCAATATTTATCATTATTTTTGTATTTTGAATATATTTTCTAAGGATGATGTTTTGTCTATTTAAAAGGAAGATAAGTTTACTGTCAAGTCCTTTCGTTATTGTAGCTTAATAGGTGCTGGATTAGAGTTCTTAGCCATCCTTTATCTATTCATAGTAGTATAATATCCATCAATATACATTTGTGGTATTCATTCATTTCATTTTTCAAACTAAAAAAAGAATATCTGAAATGTCAAATGATTTCACGATAAGTTTCATTACTAATAGAAATCAACTGGGTAAATATTGAGTATTAAGTATTAAGGAGAGATAAAACCCAGAACTCTTAGATCAAGAAGTGACCACTGTGAAGTTGTTTATTATTCCTACCTTCCACTAGTGTGCACTAGAGTATCACTTCTGTGTATTCTGCAAAATTATGATTTATTTTATTTATGTAAACTGAAGCTGGAAATGTGTTTGTCTTAAATATTAATACAAGTGTGAAATTATTCAATATATCCTCGAATTCCACTGTAAGGAATCAACTATGATGTAGATGTAGATGATTTATTTAAAGAATTAATTTATTCACTGAATTACTTGTATAATCACGAATCCAAATTTTCACGTAAATCGTCGTTATTACTGATGCTTATTGATAGAATGTCTGAGGTACATGTAGTGTATACCTTTGTATGTATTGGCTTATCATTAAGTAAAATGATGCTTACTCAAAGGTACGCATCTATCTGACTCATGTGTTTCACAGATCGCATGAAATGCTTTTACCGGACTCCATCACCAAATAAATGCTTTCCAGTATATTTCTGGTTTATGTTAATCTGTAATGAGAACTGCCTTATGTGCATTATGTTACTCAAGCATCATTCGACTAATTCAGTGAGCTCTAAAGTCTCAAACTATAGAACCATTTCGTTTATGCTTCTTTTCATGTGTTTTTTTCACAATAATTTACTTTTAATCTTCAGAAACGTGCGATAACTCCTCTCAGAGTTGTTTAATGATTTCCATCTTAGTGCAGGAAAATATGTAACAAACTAACTTCTTTTTTAATGTTTTTAAAAAGTCTAAATAGTTTGGGTTGAAGTTAGTCAGACAGTCTGGCAATCACTTCTGCTGTCATTTAGTACTCGTTTTTTTAAGGTTAGACGTACGAGTTCTTTGATAACTGTTATACATTATTTCCAACCACTTGGCATCAGAGAGAATGTACAATGATGATAAGCCAATTAAACAATCAGTCTATATTCAAAATATTATTTTGAACAATCTGAGATGATTAAGCTTCAATGTGACTAATTTTCTGAGATTGGATTCATTCCGAATAGGTAGACTGATAAGTAAATCAGCTGTGTATAGGTAAACAATGGTTAAGTTTTAAATATTTTCTCCTGTATTAGTGATCATTAATTTACGCTCTAAATTGGTCCATTTTAATTTTTTCCATCTAACCTTACGAAATGTGACAATAATTTATACATATTAGGAATTTGTTTTCTGTATTTCATTTTAGTACTTAATGAAAACGCTGATTAGTGTTTTCATTCTGTGGTTAATGTAGCTAGGGTATATGTGTTTTCAACAGGCGAATAAGAACAAACAGTTTCGCGAAGAACATTGGGTGGCAGGAGAATACCATTCTTAATGTACCAGCAGAGAATGTTCTTTTCAGGGAGTTTGATATTCTCTTCTTTAGTGTGTCGACACACATATGGGGCATTCTTTGTTAGTTTTTGGTTTTATGTGTTTATTTACAAATCGTGGGGGTAGCTATATTGAATCTTCCTTATTGTATCCTCCTTAAAAGAGTGATCTCTGTATCTACTGACTGAGGGCTGCAGATATTTTGAATCCTAGTTTCAAGAGATATTATAGCCATCATCAGGACATTCGTACCAGATGTTTATATCTTGACAGAAACCAATATATTTTCGTTCATTAGAAATAAACAACCAGAAAATTCTATAGTTCATATAGAATAAATCTGAAGTAATAACGTAAATTTGAAATAAGAACCAGAATTGATATTGGGGTTCGAACAAAAAATGCTTGTGGCCTACTGATTGGAGCAGGCACATTTCTATCTGTGAATCATTGATAAAAGCTTTGCTACATGTGACTTGCTTCTTTATAGCATTGATATTAACCCAGATACTCGATTTAGAGCATAATTAAAATGATAAGCTTACAGGTTGGCAATTTAATGACGTAATGATTGCGTTATTATGATAAGATTATTGTTCAAGGGTGCAACTCTGTTGCGGTCAGTTTTTCTTAAGTTTGTCTGAAACAGTGCTACAGTGATAATTGCAGGTCATTATATAGACTGAACCGTGTTCCTGTATGTGTGTGATATGTCTACTTACTTTAATTTATCAACAACAAATTGCAACAGTTTATTGGAAAACATATACCGATCTACTGAATTGTATAACTGGATCCAGCTAAATGCCCTAGACGTCAGATGCTTGTGTAATCTTTGAGGGATTGGCTTCCCAGCAGTGTAAGCAAATAAATTCATCTGCCAAAACTGATATCCATGGATGATTGCTTTAAAAGTCTTTGACAGATAGCGCTATTATAAACTATCACCTTCTACTCCCCTCCCTCTGATGGTACTGATTGTTGGTGTATCACTATGAGACTACTTTTCAACCGTTAATACAAAGTAGTCATAACACTGAAAATTATGATCTTATCCCATGGAGCTAAGAAGTATCGGCGGTTCAGTGGTGGAATATTCACACGCAATCCAGGTCCGATCTCCAGCCATTACACTCCTATACCTTTACTGGCCTGTAGTAAGCCTAGAAAAGGGGGAAAGTTCTGTGTGAGGCTGCAAACCCTACTTCGTAAAAAGTAACACCATTGTTATTGATTATTCAACAGTTGAAGCCCTACGCAACACCTAGAATTCATAAAATGAAGAAAAAACGGCAAATTACTAAGTGACATGAGTTTCTTTCAACCTTTTTGACAAAGTCGTCAATTCAACTTTACTATGGTGGTTAGAATATAATAAAAGATTGTCGGTTCAATAGCTATTATACCTAGCTTAGTTTCTGGATAAAACGGTCATTATTTAATTACTTTCTTCCTCTTAATCCAATAATTGATCCCTGTTCTATATTACGTACTGTCATTTTGTTATTCACCGATTTTCCAATTTTGACCTGAAATAATAATTCTGAAATTTCCACACCTTTCTTCTTATATATGCGTGAAGATCTGGGTTAGTTGATTATTTTTTTCACTTTAACTGTAAACGAAATGTATAATAATCGAA